GAAGATTTTCATACGTTTATAGATCTATTTGATTTTAACCATTTTTGAAATTTAAAATTTTATAATTAGATATAAAATTAGATTTTGAGATTATCCTAAGAATATTTTACACCAAAATTATATACCATGATAAAATTTGAAGGTGCACCTTACCTCTACAGCTACGGATGCATTCGTATGCCAACTGCACCATTTAATAAATCTATTTTTGTGATGGATTTTAAGGCTTAATTTTTAAGAATATGTAATATCTATTATGGAGAAATAAATAAATTTTAAAAACTATAAATAATAGGGAAAAGTTTATATAGAGCTGAGGCTCTCAACAATCAAATTGGATCCTATCACAAAAATTTCACTAGAAGAGGTTCGTTGTTTTGATGTCCAAATATCCTCAAATTGATCATCTCGACATCAAGATGAATGGACATGAGAAAAAAATCGATTTCAAGTTTTGGAAATAGTATATTTTATAATGCATTTTTGGACCGTCAATTTTCAAGATTTTCAAGTTTTTATGGATCTGTCGATCTACACTATTTTTTAAGCTTTAAAATTTATAAATAAAGGTGAAAATATATCACAAGGCTATCACAAAGATTTCTAGTATTGAAATCACATTTCTCGACACTATTTAAAGGTAGGCTCTAATTTGATTGTTTAGATCCTAGGCTCTATACAAACCCCACCCTAAATAATAATTGGAAAATTTCGTATAGAACCCTAATTCCTCATATTAATTTCATGATAGACCATCTTTCCGCATTTTTTTGAAGCGGCATAAAAAAAACCCCTAAAGATTTCACCATACCCCATTTTCTCTTATCTCTTTCTTTTTATTGACTTTTGATCATAAAAATTAGTCATAACATATCTTTTTATACCATTTCAACCCAATTTTTTTTTTAATGGGTGGAAAGGAAAGGAGAAGGTGAAAAAAGTTTTTGGGATGAAATGGTAGAAAAAGTTTTGTTGAGACTAAATTTTATGGCAAAAAATCAACAAAAGAGAGAGATAAGAGATGATGTGGTATGGTGAAATCCTTAAAGATTTTCTTATGCCGCTTGAAAGAAAATCGGAAAGAGAGTCTACTATGAAATAATATGAGGAATTATGGTTCTATACGAAATTTTCTCAATAATAATTCTAGTAAGAAAAAATTTGGACCGTTAGTTTTTATTGTTTTTAGACGGAACACCTTACACTTTCTGGACCGCATACGTAGAAATGCGATCCAACCTGCATGAAACAATTTTCTTTATATAGCAAATATTTTATTATTAATCAACAAAATGGGTCTCGAGGTCAAAAGAAGTCCTTATATCAATATATATCATTTACTTTATGGGTATTAATACTATTCTTGACCTGACCAATTCTTGTTTACAATAAGTGGTGGTCAAAAATAGGTAAATGTATCCTTATAAAGGGTATGGTTTGTATAAAGCGGATGCCTTAAACAATCAAAGCAAGATGAATAGTCAAATGGATTGAAAGATGTTGCTTCAGTGTTGAAACTTTTGTGATAGTTTTGGAATTCATTTTCAGTCTCTAATTATAAAATTTGATGCGTTGAAAATAATATAGATCCAACAGACCTATGAAAACTTAAAATCTTTGAAAATTGATAGTCTAGAAAAAGCATTACAAGATACTCTATTTTTAAAGCTTGAAATTCATTTTTTGCTAGTTTAGTGTTGAAAATTTTTGTGATGGTAAGGAAATTTACTTTCATTTTTAATTATAAAATTAAAATATTAAAAAATAATGTAGATCGAGCAGATCTATGAATTCTTGAAAATTTTGAAATTAACCGTCTAAAAAATGCGTTATGTGATCTACTATTTTAAAGCTTGAAATTTATTTTGTCTAATATCCATACATCTTGAGATCGAGCCCATCGATTTTAGGATTTTAAATGTCGAAATAACTTTTTCTTTGGTGACGTCCTTAATTTGATTTTTTTAGGGCCCAACCCTTATATAAGCTTTTTTTGACTTTTTGGAAACCCAATGCCTTTTTCTTTATGAGAAACTATGCAACAAGACGTTGAATTTGGGCACGAAGATAACAATCACATTTACAATCGGGTTGTATCATCAATACTTCAAGTTTGAATAATTTTACCTCAAGACATAAAGCTAGACACCCAAGCCACCCGATTTAAAATCTGACGGTTTGGGATGGTCTCATAGCTAACAATCCAATTACTCCAAGAGTGCCAAATGACTGTTTTGCCCTGATAGGGACCTTATAGGCTCCAATTTTTGACCCGAAATTTCGGGCCTCGAAAACCAACATGATGCGACAGGCACGTGTGTCTCCCCACGGACTAACCACATCATTAGGCCTGATATATAGCAATATATAAGCCCCTCTTTACTCCCCCTCTAGAGAGAGAATCATCCCAATAACTAGAGAGAGAAAGAGGGAGAAAGACACTTCAATGCCTCCTCCTTCATCCTAACTACGCATTGTCAAATCTCTCTCCCCCTCAACTCAAAGCTCTCTTCTCTTTCTCTCTCTAGACAAACCTGTTTTCTTAGACAGAGAGAGAGAGAGAGAGACACATCAAATTCCTCTCCATCCTTAAACACCACTACAAACCAAGAGAGAGAGAGAAACCCCACAAAATCTACAGAGAAAGAGAGAGAAAAAACAGAGTCTTGACAATGGTTTCGGAGAGGCTAGAGAGCAAAAGCGTGTGCGTGATCGGGGCCGGACCCTCGGGCCTCGTCGCGGCTAGAGAGCTGAGAAAGGAGGGCCACTCAGTGGTGGTTCTAGAGCAAAACCATGAAGTTGGTGGGACTTGGCTCTATAACCCCAACATAGAAGAAGAAGAAGCCTTAGGGAAAGGAAGCTTCCTTAAAGTCCATAGCAGTCTCTATGCTTCTCTAAGGTTGGTCTCACCTAGAGAGACAATGGGTTACTCAGACTTTCCATTTATGGCAAGAAAAGGCAGAGATGGAAGGAGATTTCCAGGCCACCATGAGTTGCTCTTGTATCTCAAGGATTTTGCAGACCATTTTAGAGTGAGAGAGTTGATAAGATTCAACACCAGGGTTGATCATGTGGGGATGGTGGATTTTGCCAAATTTGGAAAGAATTGCAGGTGGGTTGTGAGATCAAGAGGGAGAAAGGATGAGAAGGTGAGTGAAGAGGTGTTTGATGCTGTGGTTGTGGCCACAGGCCATTATTCTCAGCCTAGGTTGCCCAAGATCACAGGTATGTTTCTCCCTCCACACCATTTCTTGGTTGTTTCTCTCTCTTAGAGTGTTTTTCGTTCCATTTACTTTACTTATCTGGGCGGCTCTAATTTATACTTGGAAAAAGCTACCCTATTTGGAAAACCCTGTTCCGGAAACTCTATCTAAAGTCTCACTTGAAAAAATCTGCCGAAAATGTTAAACAATCTCCAATAATGATTGGGAAAACTTTATATACAGCCGAGGCTCTAAACAATCAAATTTGACCCAACCTCAAAATTTTTATTAAAAGCAGTTGTTTTGATCCCCAAATATCTTCAAATTGATTATCTCGATATCCAGATGCATAGGTATGAGAAAAAAATGGATTTCAAATTTTAGAAATAGTGTATTTTGTAACGCATTTTTGAGCCATCAATTTCAACATTTTCAAGTTTTCATAGATCCGTCGATCTATACTATTTTGAAGTTTTAAACTTTATAAATAAATATAAAAATACATTTTAAAGTTAACACAAAGATTTCTAATATTGAAACCACATTTCTCGAAACTATTTGATAGTAGGCTCTAATTTGATTGTTTAGAGCCTATGCTCTAAATTGCCCCTTAGTATCCACCGGATTTTAAGTTTTTTTAGTTAGTTTAATTTTAATTTTAGTTTCCCTACTAAGAAAAAGACTAAAAAAATAAGAAAAAATTATAAAAAGCCCCTTTGAACCAACTTTCTTTGCAACCTACCCCAAATAAATTTTTTGTAGCAACATGTACCCCAAAATAAACTTTTCTAGCAGATAACCCCAATAAAAAAGTATAGCTTTTAGGACCTCAATTTCCTCTCTCTTCTAATATCGACTGCTTAACTTTTCCCATAAAATACAAAAAGGCAGTCCGACAGTATACGATAATATCCCAAAGTGGTCTAGTACTGACAAAGAACGGTTCGGCAAAGGCCCATGCGGTCCGGCATTGCCAAAGAGCGGTTCAACAATAGGCCCATGCGGTCGGACAACATGTCCATGCAGTCGGCAATAGGTCCAAAGTGTGGTCCGGCAATTTTAAAGAGCAGTGTGGCACTTTTTTTAGTTTAACAGGGTCTGACAATTGGTACATAGCGGTTCGGTAGCCCATGTAGCTTTTGGTACCATGTGTAAGCCCACTTGAATGTTCAATCAAAATTAAATTTTTATCTATAAAAAAGGGTATTTTGGTCAAAAAAAAATGCAGTTTTTTACTTGAAGGTATTTGCTAGAAAAGTATATTTTAGGTAAAAGGTGGGAAAAAAAAGTTTGGTTGAGAGTAAGTTGCCTAAGAAGTCTATTCTTGAGAATTATTTGTAATTTTTTTGAAAAATAATCAAAATTGGATCGAATTCTCAAACCAAGGGGCAAGTTTTAAACTAATGATTTAAAAAACGGATCGGTGACCCGGATCGGGCACCTCAAAAACCAATCCGGATCGGCAAATCGGCGATCCGGATCGAGAATCGACTGAATCGG